CGGTCCGATTTTCCAACAATTATGTCCAATTTACTGTCACAAAATTTTGATTTCAACACCTCATTAAATTCCCCTCATTCCAAGGGTATTCCATGATTTTTCTCAAGTTTTACCTCCCTCTATAATTTTCTAAATTTTTCTCTGTCAAAAATCACTATTCTATTCTACCGATAATAATTCGGTAATAAATATTCTTTAAGTTAACCTCTACACATCCAAAGGTGGGAAGTAATTTTATAAATTAGAATAATATGTCACATAATTTATCCATATTTTTCCTTGAATTTTTGAGGCCTCTATATATTTTAAATAATGGAAATTGGCTAATTTTCCTTAATTAACCAAAAATTCCAATAATTACAAATAATTCCCTCATAAATTATTTTTAATCCTATATTCATCTTCTAAGCCTCAAACATTATTCTGTACCCTCTTTTCTATTTTTCATGATTTTCTGAGAATTTTCAGGAATTTTAGACATTATTTCCAATACTGCCCTTTCTTGATCGATCTTTTCAAAAATGACCGTTATGTCCCTATCCTGATTTTTCCTCATAGCCTGGATCCTCTACCAGTCTACTATACTATTTGGCCTTAGTCAGACTCAAGTCATTCATCAATTAGAATAAGATTATCAGGGTGTGACATTTCTCCCCTCTAAAAATAAATTCCGTCCTCGAAATTTTAACACATACCTTATGTGAAGCTCTGGATACTTGCTCCTCATCTCGTCTTCCTTTTTCCACGTGGCCTCTTCTTGATTTAGATCTTTCTAAATCACTTTGACCAAAGGAATTCCCTTGTTCCTCAGCTGCTTGACTTTCCGGTCCACTATGCGTTCTGGTCTTACTTCAAATGTCAGATTGTTCTTTAGCTCAATCTGATCATATTCTAGCACATGTTCTGGATCCGGATTGTACTTCTTCAACTGGGAAACATGGAAGACATTGTGCAAATGACTTAAATTCGGGGGTAAGGCCAGTCGATAGGCTATAGATCCTACTCTTGAGAGTATTTGGAATGGTCCCACATATTTAGGCGTCAGCTTTCTCGCCTTAATGGATCGTCCTACTCCAGTAGTTGGAGATACCTTTAGGAATACATGGTCTCCAACCCCAAACTCTAACGCCTTTCTTCTACTATCAGCGTAACTCTTCTGTCTGCTTTGAGCTGTGAGTAACCTCTGTTTGATCTGTTTAATCTGTTCAGAGGTACGATCCACTATATCTGGACCCCAAACTTTTCTCTCTCTGAGTTCTGTCCAACAAAGCGGGGATCTGCACTTTCTTCCGTATAATGCCTCGTATGGTGCCATCTGGATACTGGAATGGTAACTATTGTTGTACGCGAATTCTGCCAAAGGCAGATATTCATCCCAGCTCCCTTTGAAATCCAAAACGCACGCCTACAGCATATCTTCTAGTGTCTGTATTGTTCGTTATGTTTGTCCGTCCGTTTGAAGATGGTAAGCTGTACTGAAACTCAATACCGTGCCCATGGCTTCTTGTACTGCTTTCCAGAATCTCGACATGAATCTTGGATCCCTATCTGACACAATGTATTCTGGAACCCTATGTAATCTTACGATCTCTTTAATGTATAACCTCGCTAACTTCTTTGGCGAATATTTAACTTTAATAGCTAGGAAATGGGCCGACTTTGTCTGTCTGTCAACTATGACCCATATTGCATCGTATCCTGACGACGTACGAGGTAGTCCTACTATGAAGTCCATAGAGATACTGTCCCACTTCCATTCAGGAATATTAAGGGGTTGTAAATATCCTGACGGCTTCTGGTGTTCCGTCTTCACTTTCTGGCATGTAAGGCACTTTGTCACATACTCAGTGACATCTCGTTTCATATCAGGCCACCAAAACAATGACTTGATGTCTTGATACATCTTGGTCATTCCTGGATGAATCGTATATTTACTTTTATGTGCCTCATCTAGAATTCGCTTCTTGAGATCGTCTACGAGAGGAACATACGATCTTCCTCTGAATTCTATTACTCCCTCTGTTGAGATCTCAAAATCTCTTGTCTCGTTGCTTAAGACTTTAACTCGAAGGGTCTTTGCTAAAGGATCCCCTCTTTGAGCTTCTTTAATTTGTTTTATCATATCAACAGTTGTTCTCTGCACTAATGGCTCATTAGCCACATCATCTGTCGTTAACTGCATATGATAAATAGGACCCCAATCTCTTATATCTTCTAACAGATCACCCTCTTTGATCATGAGGGTGGCTACCTGCACCACTTTCCTGCTCAAGGCATCAGCCACTACATTGGCTTTTCCCGGATGATACTTGATCTGATAGTCATAATCTTTCAACAACTCCATCCATCTCCTTTGTCTCATGTTAAGTTCTTTCTGGTCTTGCAGGTACTTGAGACTCTTGTGATCACAGAACAATTCTATAGTTGCCCCATACAAATAATGCCTCCATATTTTCAAGGCATACACTATCGCTGCAAGCTCCAGGTCATGAGTGGGGTAATTTTCTTTGTGAGGTTTTAATTGGCGCGAGGTGTAGGCAATAACTCTTCCCTGCTGCATCAGTACACATCCCAATCCCTGTTTGCTAGCATCTGTGTACACTACATATGGTAGTGTCGGATCGGGGATAACTAGTACTGGGGTAGAGGTTAGCCTTTGCTTCAGCTCTTGAAAACTTGCCTCACATTTCTCGTCCCACAAGAACTGCTAGTTCTTCCTGGTTAGCTTTGTCAGCACTTAGGCAATTCTAAAGAAGTCCTGGATAAATCTCCTATAGTAACCTGCCAGCCCTAAGAAACTTCGTATCTCTGTCACTGTCTTAGGTTGTTCCCAGTTCAGTACTGATTCAACTTTACTGGGATCTATGGCTACACCTTCATGGTTAATCACATGGCCTAGGAATTTAACTTCCTTTAACCAAAACTCACATTTACTGAGCTTGGCGTAGAGTTGTTTCTCCTTCAGTGTACTCAGCACAATTCTCAAGTGCTGCTCATGCTCTTCTTGAGTTTTGGAGTACACTAGTATGTCATCAATAAAAACTACTACAAACAGATCTAAGTATGGTCTAAAAATCTGGTTCATGTAGTCCATGAAAATAGCAGGTGCATTCGTCAATCCAAACGGCATCACTAGGAATTCATAGTGTCCGTATCGGGTCCTAAATACAGTCTTCTAAACATCTCCTGTCTTTATCCGCAGCTGATGATATCCCGATCGTAGATCGATCTTGGAAAACACCGTTGCTCCTGCCAGTTGGTCTAACAGATCATCAATTCACGGCAGAGGGTATTTGTTCTTTATCGTCACCTTGTTTAGCTCTCAATAGTCAATGCATAGCCTTAGGCTACCGTCTTTCTTTTTCACAAAGAGTACTGGAGCACCCCAGGGAGATACACTTGGTCTTATAAAACCCTTCTCCAACAGCTCCTCAATTTGTCTCTTTAGCTCAACCATTTCGTTGGGAGCCATTCGATATGGAGCTTTGGATATTGGTTTTGTCCCTGGTACAAGGTCAATCGTGAACTCCACTTCTTGCTCTGGCGGAAGTCCACTGATCTCTGTTGGAAATACCTCCAGGAAGTCTTTCACTATCGGTATTTCTTTGATTCCTTCTTCTACCTCTGCTCGAATCGAGAAGAATACGAAATATCCTTGACATCCGTGCTGTAAGCATCTACTTGCTTCGGCTTCAGTTATGAAATTTAAACTTACTTCTTTTCTAGGGATTTCTTCCTTAGAGGGTAATACTAATGTTTTCTTACCACAGTCTAGAAGTATGTTATTGGCAGATAACCAATTCAAACCAATTATCACCTCAATATCACGAAAAGGCATGCATATTAAGTCAATAGCAGTGCAACAATGCTTATAACAGACCACATAATTCAGGCATGCTTTAGAAGTCACAACTTTAGCACTAGTGGGAGTAGAAACAACAATATCATATGGCAAGGTATCAACAGTCAAACCCAATTCCCCAACACAGTCATGCGATATAAAGGAATGGCTAGCACCTGAGTCAAACATGGCATACACAAGGCAATTATTAATAGTGATCATACCTTGGATCATGTCAGGTGACTTACGAGCCTCTTCCTGTGTAAGGGCAAACACCCTGCCTTAGGTCTGCTGTCTCATCCCTTCTGCCCCTTGTGGGCATTCCTTCAAAAAGTGTCCTGGTCTCCCACATCTATAACACATGTTCTGGCCAAATAAACATGGCCTGTCGCCATGATTCTTGCCACACTTCTCACATTCCTTGGCCCTTCGTGTGATATCAAACCCTTCAGGTCGTCTACTCCCTTTTCTCATCTTCCTGCCAAAGCCAGGCCTCTTCCTCTTCTTATTAACATAAGAGGTTCCTTCTTGATTCAGCCTTGATGGGAGTCTCTCAGTTTCAAAGCTACTGGCATCATTCCTCGATGATTCTGACTTGATTCAGTAATACGGCAAACTTCTACTGCCTTGTTAAAACTCTCGATCTGCTGTGGCGCCACGACCTCCCTTAATGTCGGCTTTAATCCTCTGACCAGCTTCTCCGTATTTCACTGTTCATCATTAAGACGTTTTAGATAAGCAGAATAACGGGACAGCCGAATGTGCTTTGCTAGGTAGTCATCAAAAGTTTCATTATTCCCCTGCTGCAACGCTAGGAATTTAGCTTCCATTTTATCTTGCGCTGATTGGGGAAAGTACTTCTGGTAGAATCTTTCTTTGAACACTTCCCATGTTATTACGGTGTTGTTGGCTTACAGTACCAACTCAGTACTGTTCCACCACTGATCCGCTTCTTTTTCTAGCTTATAAATTGCCATCTGAGCTTTAATCTCAAATGAACATCCCATTACTCGAAAGATCTTCTCCAGTCGGGTAATCCAATCTTCGGCTATTTGTGGTTCTAATGAACCCTTGAATTCTGGTGGATTATGCTTGCAAAATTTTGTAATCCACTGCTGAATATCTCCTTGGTTCTCAGCCAATCCTACTTGCTCTTCAGGTACTTGCCGTTGGACTTGTGGGGTTGCTTCTGCTTGCACTTGCTCGGGTTGTCGTAACTGAGCAATTGCTGCTGCTACCGCTACTGCTATAACAGCGTCTCTCTCTTCTTGCTGCCGTAACTGCGCCTCTTGTAGTTGCTGTACAACTCATTGTTGTTCATCCAACCTATTCATTACTTGTTGGATAGGATCTCTATGTGGTTCCTCAGGAGTGTTTCTTGCTCCTCTCCGTGTTCTCACCATTTCGCTTGTTCTTTAGTTAACTATGGGAGAATAAAGGAACTCCTTAATCATTTATCATAAAAACATACCCCTCTTACTTATATAACTAACATTTGTACAACAACACAAGGATTATACAGAGTTTTTAGCAGTTAGCCTAACTTATATACAGTCCAACACTATTTACACTATATACATCATTAGTCTAACATTAGCCGTGACCAGCTCACGGAAAAGTAGCCCATACAAAGGTCTTTATGGCGTCGACCATCTCCAGGAAAGTACATTTGGGTAGGCGATTACATATCTCATTGACTCCTTCATTCCATTTCCATGTCTTGGGGATTACATGATACAAGGCTAGGATCCAATCATCATCTCCCAAGGTACGATCCTCTCTAGTCACCCAATAATAAAGGCTCTTAATGTCCTCTAAGAACCTTAAGTATACGTCAGCTTTCTGGTGCTCATACGGCTTAATGAAATGGCTTCTAAACTGGAACTCTCGAACTAGTTGAGGAAGGCACTGGAACTCTTTCTTAATTTCAAGTGTAGGGATCTTACTCGGACCTGCTCCATCATTACTAGGTATCTTAACAACTGCTGCTATATCATTAGAGGCAACTGTGGCAGTGTCTCTCTCTGGAACCTTCCCTTTGAAACCGAAGTAATCTACCTGAGTAGCTGGGGATTTGGTACTAAGCTCTCCATACCTCTCAATATCCTCGTACCACCATGTCTCATCATACCACCATAGATATGGCTCACCAGGCATGACCTTGCTAATGGTCTCTCCTGATTTTTCACTTCCACTACAGACAGCCATTACCTGAGCTTTCTGTAATCCTAATGACCAAATAAACTTATTAATGAGCACTATAACATGCTTTCCTCAAGATTCAGAGCATACAAATTCTAAAAATTTGTTCTGAGTGCCAGAACCATTTGCTCTAATACCATAAATGTAACAACTTACATTTGCGACCTTATATTGTACCAAGTTAAGATATTCGGAAGTGCAATTTAAGGTTACTGGGTTGAAAAATCTGAATTTGAAAATTTCTTTTCCCGCATTACTATTCACTGTAACCTTAAACTTAGCATAACTTTGGAAAATCATAACTAATTCTAGAAAAATCGAAACAAGGTCGTTCTAAGTTTTACTCGAAGCTCTTAACATCATCTATCAAGAAAAAATGACCTCAGGTTCCACTTTAAACGTATCTGATTTTAATTTCGAAAAGTACTGTTCATTTGGTCATTTTTCTATTTTCCAGGATTTTTGCCTAACTTTGAAAAGGCATAACTTCTTGTACAGAGCTCCGATTGTGACGCTTTACCACTCATTTTAAAGGGAAAAATAAGATCTATTTGCATGCCAAATTTCATGAAAAAAGTCAACCATTTGACCAGGGTCTTTATTGGTCAAAGTTTGGTCAAATCTAGACCATTTTTATCCCCTTTTTCACTAATTCTAGCACCATTTCGTTTTTCACTATAAGCATACCATAATCACATATAAAGGTGCTCTACCATTAATATACATTTCAAAAGGTCATCATATCATGTATTCAAGATCAAAATATGCTTAAATGGCTTGAAAGAGAAAGGTTCAAAACCATATAATACAGTACATAACTAATAACTTCCTCAAGCCATGATTATTTCTTTTCCCTTCTCCTTGGAAGTAGTAGCACCTAGAATACCATGTTATAGGAGGAATGAGATTTCATAGAAATCCCAGTAGCATTGAACATACAACCATCAAGTCAACATGCATAAGATGTCATGCTACATGCAGTAAAATAACATTGCTAGTCTTTATGCCATGCCATAACCATTCTGTATCCATGTCATCATATCATGGAGCATATAATCATTCTGGTCAAAACTCAATCATGCAAGAGCCAAGGCATACATTGCAAGGAGTTCACATCATCTGTACATAAACATTCTCATGGCACATAAACACACATAGCAGAAACACCAAATGCAGGTCAACAAAATAATTGCAAGTTCACGCTACCTCGGTTCCACGCTTACTATTTCCTCCTTGTTTCCTTGCTCGAGATCCTCCTAGATTTCCAGAAAATTGCCTATCAACCATACAGTAAGGGTATGGTAAATTCCATATCTAGTATACAATTCTTTCTCTATATAATGCTACCCTTGTGCCTTTCAATTTATAATTTCTGTATACCTTTCCTAATCCTTTGACTTTGGTTTGACCAAACCTTAATCCTCAGTTAAGGTCTTGGAATTCTTCCTTAATCCATGATTAATCATGCTTTCTTGGTTAATCACTAACCCTTAATCCTTAATCTAATATTTAATTAAGGTCCTCAAGTCACATAGTCATTAGTACAATATAATCTTCTAAGATTAAGTCACTAATCCCTTATGGATTAACATTAATCATCCTCTAATCACATGATTACTTTAATCATTCGTTAATCAACATGATTAATCATAATTAATCATCCTTCAATTAGCATAACTAATCACTAATTACTAATTAATCAAGGTAGCTAACCTTAATTACTTACTAATCTTTAATCAAATAACATGATTAATCTTAGCTACCACTAAACCATAATTAATCAAGGTAATTAATCCTAATCTTCCTCAAATAAATAATTAACTAAAAATAATTAACACTTAGGGAGGTAAACATACCTTAATTAGCTCTTAATCGGCGATTAGAGGTGTCTAACCTTGCTTTCTCCCTTTCTCTCTCTTCTTTCTTCCTTTCTCTCTCCTAGAATTCAAGAACACAACATTCCCTCACTACCAAACCACTTTGGCCGAATTGTTCATGGAAGGGGGGTATTTATAGACTTTGATTTCTCAAAATTCCAAAAATGCCCTTCGGGAAAAAGATGCGACCTCGGCCATCCATTTTTTTTTCCACTTTACACATGGACAAATCCTAGGGCACACACCATAAGAAGTTGACACATGGATGGACACCTAATCACCATGTGATTTTCATGTGGAAATAAAATATTATTTTAATGTTTTGTCTCTTATTTCCCTTTATGCCCTTGAACAATTTGGAAAATTCTAACTTTGTCCTCCCCCTTTATTTTTGGCTGAAATATTACTCTAAATATTGGGAGAAAAATGACTCATCCAATATTCGGTGCAATCCACTGATTATTTGTGTATTTTCGGTCTGATTTTCCAACAATTCTGTCTAATTTACTGTCACAAAATTTTGATTTCAACACCTCATTAAATTTCCCTCATTCCAAGGGTATTCCATGATTTTTCTCGAGTTTTACCTCCCTCTATAATTTTCTAAATTTTTCTCTGTCAAAAATCACTATTCTACCGATAATAATTCGGTAATAAATATTCTTTAAGCTAACCTCTGCACGTCCAAAGGTGGGAATTAATTTTATAAATTAGGATAATATGTCACATAATTTATCCATATTTTTCCTTGAATTTTTGAGGCCTCTATATATTTTAAATAATGGAAATTGGCTAATTTTCCTTAATTAACCAAAAATTCCAATAATTACAAATAATTCCCTCATAAATTATTTTTAATCCTATATTCATCTTCTAAGCCTCAAACATTATTCTGTACCCTCTTTTCTATTTTTCATGATTTTTTAGGAATTTTCAGAAATTTTGGACATTATTTCCAATACTGCCCTTTCTTGAGCGATCTTTTCAAAAATGACCGTTATGTCCCTATCCTGATTTTTCCTCATAGCCTGGATCCTCTACCAGTCTACTATACTATTTGGCCTTAGTCAGTCTCAAGTCATTCATCAATTAGAATAAGATTATCAGGGTGTGACAATAAGTCTGTCCAAGAATCCAGTCCATCATGCCCGAACCAAACACATCGATGTCCGACATCACTTCATTCGGGACCTGTTCAAAAGAAAGATGTAAAGGTTGAGTTCATCCCCACTGAATATCAAATAGCCGACATCTTCACGAAACCCCTAGATCAACAGAAGTTCAACTTTTTTTAAAGAGAATTGGGAATGGTAAATCCCAATGAATTGTAAGAAATCTCATGTTATCTCTCAAGATTAATTGTTTAAATTTAATGTTTTGATGATAAAATAACTAACTTAAGCATCGGAGTATATAGAAATTTGTTTTGCAGGAAGCTCTGTTTCGATGAAGAAAAACAGAGGTAAAGAGAGTATGAAATTATCGATCAAATGATCGATAATCATGAAGGAAAAAAGAAAGTAATTTATCAATCACCTGATCGATAAATTCAGTTTATGAGGAAAGAAAGCATTCCAGCACAGCAATTATTGATAAGCTGATCGATAAATGCTTTATCGATCAGAACATCGATTAAGAGCCTCAAGGTTTGAGATTTCTCTTTTAGAATTGGTAAGCATTAATTGATAAGCTGATCGATAAATAGATTATCAATCAAATGATCGATAAACAAGACCAGGTACGCGTCTCTATTACTGATTTTATCGATAACATGTTCAATAATTACTTGATCGATAACTTGATCGATAATTGTGTTCTGTGTTCATGTGTGTTCTTCATATTTATCGAACACGTGATTGATCATTTGTTGATCGATAACTTGATCGATAAATCTGAAGCTTATAACGGTTAATTTTTTGAAACTCCACCATCAGTTATCGAACCCTAACTCGAAAAAACTCCCATCCCCTGTTTCTCGCAACGGTCCAAAATCACTGTTTTATTAAATTTCTTGTCTCCCTTCTACTCTAATACATCCCTACTGCATTTCCGACCTACCCCGAGCTCCAAACATCACACTTAAACCGATCATTCACTCAGCCACTCTTCAGTAACCCAGCAATGGCATGAGTAAAGCAACCCAATATGGAGAGGGAAGAGAGTCCTGAAAAGC